TGATTCTATCCTCTCTACTGGAGGAGCTAGCCTATGCCGGAGTTGTGGCCAACTTGCTAGCTCCAGGTTCTGGCCATGCCCGGTAACTTCCCATGAAGCCATCCCGTCCATTTGGTTAAGACTTTTATTTTATTTTATTTTCCCCTGTTGGTTTTACAGGGAATCGATTTCACGACTGTATTTTTCGTTTTATTTTTATTTTTTAAATATTTTTTCCAGGGGACTTAAGCAAATGGAGGATCCGAATCTTGGAAGGCTCGAGCCTTGTTTCCTTGCCCAGGAAGGAGCTGGAGTCGCTGCGGGGCCGGGCCGGGGTCTTGGGACTTACGGGAACTGGAGGACATGACGGCAGAGACAAGCCCTGGTTGTTTTCCAGGGTCCTGCACCCTGTGTCAGGTCACCCTTTGTTGGTCTGGATGGTTCGGGGGTTTGAGCCCAGGTTCGGGCAATCCCTATAAGCCCTATCTTCTGAAAGCCGCCAGGGCAAGCCATTTTGGGGTTATCCTATTTTTGACCACCACAGCCATGACCAACTGCCCGGTCTCAACTTCCGGTTGTTGATGGCAGTGGTTCCAACCTGGCGCGAGCTTTTCAGCTCGAGCCATCGGACGCAAGTTTGGTCCTGAGAACCCGATCTTTGCTTTGGTGTCCTGTTCTACCCCAGCAATCACCAAGGCGCCGAGCAAAGCCTGGCTATGGAACGCTGATGGGGGGTCTCTGAAGGTTTCTCATCGCACCCCGGAGTTGCGCCGAATCGTGTGGTGCGTATATCCAGTGGCCAAATTGAGTCCCGTGCTATCTCGGATGCAGAGGGGCGAAACCAGGAAGGAGCTTCAGGGTGCGGATATTTGCCGATTCTTGTGAGTCCACCTCGGGCAGGAAAGGAGCTTTTTGAAGGGTACGGGGGAAGGCACCAAAAATGCGCATCCAAGCCCGTTTTCTAGATGAAGGACCCCAATCGGAAGCGGGGCATGGGTCTGTTTTGCATTCTTTTTTTTTCATAGACATGGCTAGGTGTGTCTTTTGGCATGGAAGGCTTTCCTATCATAGAAAATGGCCATGTTTTTTTTCCCCCCCGGCTAGAAATGGCTTGGTCAAGCAGTCCGCGAGCATACGCAACGCATGGAACGCGTGTCCGACGCTCAGGCCCGCCCCAGCCTCGAGAAGGCCTTGGCGGAGTCGCAGAAGAAGGCCGGCGGCCGTTGACGTGAGCGGGGCGAGAACGCCGGGGGGGCTGATCTCCTCTTGTCGTCTTATGCATTCCCAGAGACCAGGGATTTTCTCTCAAGATAGTTTGGACCCCCCGACAAATTCCCAAGAAATGGTGGACCCCCGAAAAATTCCAAACAAGAGGAGGGGTACTCAGAATAGTGGAGCCCCTTTGGGTATTGAAAGGGAAACAACTGGAAGCTCACCAGTCCCCCCAAACTATTTGGAGAACCCAGATGAGCTCCAGGAAACACCTCCCGAAATCGCTGCCTGCGCCATGGGGCTTCGGTTCAAAGCCTTTGGCCTCAATCCTTCGGTCAAGTGGCTTCCCCCCAAAAGTTGGGCAGGCAGCTCATGTCACGCCCAAGTCGGCGGTGCTTCGGCAGAAAGGCCTCGGAAAGGAGTCTGCATTGACCAAAAAACCAGTTGCAACAGAAGTGTACCCCCCAAGATGGTGGTCGGCTTCCTTTTGGGAAAGTCTCACACCACGCTGGCCGCTTCCGTCGCTTGGTGGCCGCCGGTGGCGCCCTCCAGCCACCCGCCCGCTTCCAGGCGGACAGCGCGAAGCGGTCCCAGAGCGAGGCGGCGGCCAGGCTCAAGAGCTGGGAGACGCAGCAGAAGGCGCGCCGCGCGCGCCGCGCGCGCCTGCCCCGCCTTCGTTTTTCTGAAGGCCCCAAAGTCATAGGTGTCCTCTTTTTTTTGGGTGGTTTTGGTGAGAAAAAATAATAGAGGGCGAGTCCTGGTTTGCCTGGTGGTTTAATCATCTACCAGGGCCATCTATTTGCGCCAAAAGGACACCTATGTCCAAACCGCTTGGCTTTGACGATCTATGGATCTATGGTCAAGTGAAAACTGTGGGTGGTTTGGATTGGAGACCCAGGGGCAGGGCATCGATCTTTGTGTTTTCTCTTGTTTTCTTCTTCTTTAGATTGGATCCCCCGGCAGGGGTGGCTTTCCTCTTGCTCTGATTTCAAAACCAATTCTTAGCAGGGGATCTGGGCACAGTTGGGTTTCATTACCCCCGGTTGATTGTGAGAGGGATCTATGGTCGGGCAAACGGGTATGGCGCTGGGTGGCATGGATTTGAAGACCAAGAACTACTGTAGGTTGAGGGTACATGGGCAACCAGCCCTCAAGCTCCAAACCACCAAACCAAACCACCAATCAGAGGGAAGCCTTTATATTTCTGCTGGGAGGTTGTTGATGTTTTGGGGAAGGAAGCAGTAGGCCCGGTGTCCGTTTTGGTTTGGTGGACAAATAGAGGGCGATTCCTGGTTTCCCGCGCTCAAAACGAAGGAAGTGGGCGGCTCATTGGCTTGCTGCCACTGATTGTGAAGGTCAACCCAGATGGGCGTAATCCTTTTTTTCTTTGGGGTGTGTGTGTGTGTGTGTGTGTTAGCGAATCTTAAAACAGAGGGCACCTGGTGTCTCCCCTTTTTCTTTCCGCTGGCCTTTCTAGATGGCGTGAACGAATCTTAAAACAGAGGGGACCCGGTGTCCCCTTTCTTTTTCGCTGGTTTGTTCCCGCTTGTGTTCTCATGTGGTTTCCCCTTGATGGAATTCTTTCACATGTTTTTCTCATGTTGCCTCCATTGTTTCTCATCTAGGTCCCCCAGTAGTGCCCTTTCTCACCCTTTTTTGTTGGGAGGGTTCCCCTACTCAAATAGACAAAACCGAAAAAAAAAAAAAAAGAGAAAAAAAAAGTGGGTACCGAAAGCAAGGTGGGTACCAACTTGTTCTAACCTCTCAAATCTGGAGGAAGTGCTTCTCCGTCCCTCGACTTCCCCCGGGCCCGCCAGGACTTGGTCGCCAAGGGCAAGGCGAACGAAGAGAAGCTGAAGTCGGAGCTGGCCAAGGCACAAAGCGAGCCAGCGAGAGCTTTCCGGCGCCGCGCCTGGGGCGCCTGCGCCTGGGGCGCTGGGGCGGTGTTCGTGTTTTTGTTTCTTCTTTGTGTTTCTCTCTTTTTTTTCCGTCTTTCTTTTTTTTTGGGGGGGGGGAGTGTCCAGGTACCAGAGGCTCAAAGCACATACCCCTCCTCCCACAAACAGATGGTGGGAGAGTACCTGGCAGTCTCCCTTTGGTTTTCCTTCACACCCACCAACCATCAGCTAGTTGGTGGTTTGGATTGGTGGTTTGGATTGGTGGTTTGGTGGTTAAATTAAGGGGGTTCCTATTCAACCGACGGAGGAGAAACTGCGCCCAAGCAGTGTTCAATAATTTCTCGTCAGGAAACCAAAGGCACCAAAGGCCACAAATCCTGCCGTTTTCCGCAAATTAACGCTCACTTTCTGCCTGAGACTGATCTTTCCAGAAAGTGACTCAGTGGGGAAACGACTACCAAGAATTTCATAGTGCTTACAGTCACCAACAAGCACTGGGACTTTGTCAGTTGCTTCAGTTGGACAAATCACCGCAAAAGGCTTGCTGATGCTCGATTCATGCCCCTTCTCCACAAAAGAAGAACACCCCCGTAACGTCGCTTGGCAAGGGTTCACCGAGGGAAGCATTCAGCGTGAACATTCAGATATCTCGTTTTCCGCTGGACTCCCAGCAGTGATGGATTCCCTTTAAAACCAACCGGGGAAAACTAAACAAACAATAGTCCTTTCAGCAATCGGAAGCTCCCCCCCCCCCCTGGGTGCCCCCAAACCCGCACTTGGACTCGCACAGCGTCATCTACGTTGGGCAGCGGAAGTGCCTACAAGTCTGTCCCAGCCAGAGTCTATAGCCTCTGGTCTTTGGCATGGCTTCCATCCAAGGTGATCGACCTAAGATCTCCGGGCTTGCAGCCGGGCTACATCCTGACATAGGGAGACGCCCCAAGTCGGCTTTGAGCCTGGTACATTCCCGGGACCCAGGGACGACAAGTTTTTTTCCAAAGAGCCCTCAAATCTACCACACTTAGCTGCATCTCTGGTACAGCACCGAAGAGAATGGCCCTCATGACCCTACTGTGGGTGGACAAAATCCTGCACCACTTTGAAACCATGGGATGCCATTTGTTTGTTGGTATTTACAGGGGAATCATCCGAAACCAGGGTTTCTTAGGAGGTGCAAAATTTTGTCCACCCACAGTACGGGTGTCTCGCAAAGTCCAACAGTGTCGATCCCCAGAGATACGCGGGCCATGGGACCAACATGGCGGTGCATGGAAAGGTTGACCACGCCGCGCGCCGATGGCAGCCGTTGGATTTCCAGGATTTGGAAGTGATTCGTATCAGCGGCTGTGCTGGGATGCACGTGATGTTCTCATGGGGGAATCGGGAAGGAGCCATATGCCACACTTTGTTTGAGCAGTGGAGGTTATGGATGGCAGGATCTGAAGATCAGCCCTCTTGGAACCTAAGTGGCAGTTTCAATGGACACCACCGGTAGATGGATCAACTTCTTGGATTTGTTTCTTTTTCCAGTGACCCTGAACCATGGGTGCTTTTTCTTGAGGGATCTAGACATGTGAGGATTCGTATGGTACATCCAGTGACCCCTCTGTGAGCCTAGCTTTTTCAGCTTTCAGAAGCCCCAAGCAAAGCTCCTAGTGGGCTTGCCTCTGTAGATCACCTCGGTGGTTTTCAGTTTTCCTTTTTTGTGCCACAACCGAGGATTTCTGACCTTGTGGTTTGCCCGTTTGTTTTTGGTGCCAAGACCGAGGAGTCGCCCAAGAATCAGGGACACCAACTAGCAGGGACAGGGGGAATGAGGGATACGGGAGGATTCCCCCTAAATGCACCTTGACTCTAAGTTTGATATGGGAGGTTGGCGCCAAGGCAATCCCCCCATATCTCCGCTCCCTCGTTCCAACAAAAAGGTTGGCCCCGGGTTCCTTCGCCATGATCGTCGGGCCCAAGCTGTCGCTCTCCATGGCCGGCGGCCTGGCGGGCGCCAAAGCGGCACAAGCCGACGCCAAGGCCAAGGCCAAGGCCAGTGGCTGGGGGGGGAGGTGGGGGGTGGGGGTTGCGGGTTGGGGGGGGGTGGGGGGGGGAACCCGAAATGGCGCACAAAGTGGTGTTTTCTTCTTCCCTCCTTTAAAGCCAACCAGAAGTGGGTATCACGAATCCTTTTTAGGCAAAAAAACAACACCAATTGGTAGTTTATTCCTGGCTTCGAAAAGTCCGACAACCCCCCCCAATTCCAATGGTTTAGGCCCATAAGAAAAGGTGGTTCGGGTTCCTACCTGGCTTGGTTTGAGGGCCCTTGTTTGTTTTTTCAAGGGACACCTTGGCCGTGACCGCTTCGAGACACACCCGAATAATTTCGACTTGGATTTTTGGGTGTATCACAAAGGGCCTTGCCCCCCCCGTCAAAACGGTCCCCCAAAAAGGCTTGCCTGGACAAACACGGGCGGTATGTGCCGAGAAAGGGTGTTTTTGATTTCCCTTTTGGTCCCACCTTGAACCAGCCCAAAAAGGGTACCAGTTTTTTTTCCTTGGGCAGGGCCTTGGCAAATGAGTGACGATAAATATATATATATATATATATATATATATATATGGCAGTGATTTTGTTTGAGGGGTCTGTAACAGAGCCGCGGCGGACATTCGTTACAGACCTCGTTACAGACCTCTGTAACAAAACCAGCTGGGTCGTTACACACCCCTCGTTACACACCCTCGTTACACACCCTCGTTACGCGCCCTCGTCACACACCTCAGCTGAACAAACCGGGCCAGTGACGTGACTACCCTGTGTTTGCCGCAGCTTGGCTTGCGCTGAATAGCTGCAATCAAGTGCGTTGCTTTGCCTCTTCACAGACCTCGTTACATAGCCGTTACATACCTCGTTACAGACCCAACCCCAGCCCGGGCCAGCGACCCCGCTTTTGGCCGCAGCTTGGCTTGCGTTGAATAGAGCTGCGGAGGCGTGCTTTGCGTGCTGCACTTTGCTTTGCCTCGTTACAGACCTCGTTACATAGCCGTTACATACCTCGTTACAGACCCAACCCCAGCCCGGACCCGCGACCCCTTTTTGCCGCAGCTTGGCTTGCGTTGAATAGAGCTGCGGAGGCGTGCTTTGCGTGCTGCGCTTTGCTTTGCCTCGTTACAGACATCGTTACATAGCCGTTACATACCTCGTTGCAGACCCAACCCCAGCCCGGGCCAGCGACCCCCTTTTTGCCACAGCTTGGCTTGCGTTGAATAGCGGCAAGCAAGCTGGTGCTGCGGAGGCGAGCTTTGCGTACTGCGCTTCGCTTTGCCTCGTTACAGACCTCGTTGCATAGCCGTTACATACCTCGTTGCAGACCCAACCCCCAGCCCGGGCCAGCGACCCCGCTTTTTGCCGCAGCTTGGCTTGCGTTGAGTAGCTGCACAATCAAGCTGGAGCTGCGGAGGCGCGCTTTGCGTCCTGCGCTTTGCTTTGCCTCGTTACAAACCTCGTTACATAGCCATTACATACCTCGTTACAGACCCAAGGTCAGCGACCCCGCTTTTTGCCGCAGCTTGGCTTGCGTTGAGTAGCTGCAATCAAGCTGGAGCTGCGGAGGCGCGCTTTGCGTCCTGCGCTTTGCTTTGCCTCGTTACAAACCTCGTTACATAGCCATTACATACCTCGTTGTGCTGCGCTGCATTGTGCTACTGATACTGCTTGTCATGAAATGTTTGTCCCGTTACAGACCTGCATAACAAGGACCTCCGTTACAGACCTCCGTAACAAGATTCGTGGCGCGTCGCGCGTTACAGACCCCCCAAAAAATCATAGCCATATATATATATATGATTAATAGTTTGATACTGGTTCGCGCGAGCAAGGGGACCGCAAGTGCTTTTGGACAAAGAAAGGAGGTTTAATTTATTTGTTGAAGCCATACGACTGAACCACTGTACAATCACCTTGTCTCCTGCTTTTTCTTGGAGTGGGGGTGGTGGAAAATTTCTTGGATTCAGGAAGCTTAGGGATTTCTGACAATTCAGCCGGGTCTCGCCCTCGGCCTTCTGGCCTCTCCTTTTCCTTGTGACCTGCGTTTGGGTGAAAGGAGGCCAACCGGGAAAGCTCTTCGATTCGAAGTTGGTGCCGCAAAGTGGGGCGTCCCACGTAAGGGAACTTTGAGGCTATGGCTAAGGCGTTTGATTGGAACATCCGAACATGGTTGTCTTTGGGAAACGTGTTGCCCATATTTGATCTCATTGTGGTTTAGTGGTTGAAATCCAAATCCGCTTAGCTGCTCAAGTCTCTGAGACTTTTTGCTCCCCTTCCACCCAAGGTCAAGCGAAAAGGCGTTTAGCTCATGTAGAAGATGCCCAGTCCTAAGAAACGAACTGTGCGAGGCTGCAAGCCGCTTCAAGTGGACATCAGTCCATTAATTTAATTAATGAAGCCAACTATTCCATTGCAGCCGCTGGGGCGGTACCACTTTTTCACCCGCAGACGAAGACGAATTGCGAAGACGAATTCCCGAAAACGAATTCCAACCCGAAGGCGAATTGCGAAGACGAATTCCCGAAGCCGAATTCCGTCCCGAAGCCGAATTTCCCCCCGAAGGCGAATTGCGAAGACGAATTTCCCAAGACGAATTCCAACCCGAAGACGAATTGCGAAGACGAATTCGCCGGAGCCAAGCTCCCTCCCGAAGCCGAATTCCTCCCGAAGACGAATTGCGAAGGCAATTTCCCGAAGACGAATTCCCCCCCGAAGACGAATTGCGAAGACGAATTCTCCGAAGCCGAATTCTCTTCCGAAGCCGAATTCACCCCCGAAGACGAATTGCGAAGACGAATTCGCCGAAGCCGAATTCTCCCCCGAAGCCGAATTCCCTCCCGAAGACGAATTGCGAAGACAATTCGCCGGAGCCAAGTTCCCTCAAGAACACGGGTTCCCCTAATGAATGCCGTTGAGCAAGCATGCTGACAGCGAGCGTTTGTGGTAATTTCGTTCCCTTACCATAGACGGCGCCCTACCTAGTAGATGCTTTTGTCAAAGCCCAATCCTTCACTAGAATAGTTCATGCAATTTGAAACCAGTATTGATCTATCGATGGTTTTCTTCTAGGAGGCCCGCTGCCCTCAGCCAGTCAGCGTTTGTTAGAAAAGAAGACCCTTCCTTGAAAACAGTTTTTGTTAGACCTCTCGGCTTTGACCCTGTCCCCGTCAGAAGTGCAAAAAAACACAACACTGAACACCCAGCGCCTGGAACCGGGGACCCCTAATAATATAAGACGTTATAATTGCGCAGTTGGCATGTTTGGGTTGTTTTCTGATGAGGGGAAGGGATTAGTTTAGCAGGGGGTTGCGCAGATGATGCCTTCTCCTCTTTCGAGGGTTTCCTTCTCGTCCCCCTAAGAATAGAGGGCCGCCTAGATAGTAGATGTTTTTGTCTGCTAAGAATCTCCGAGCCGCAGGCTAAAACATCCTAAGGGCAGGTTCTGAGGGTCACCCTGTTACTTCCCCTTGTTTAAGGTTCAACATTCGGAAATGATAGTTCCAGCGGTTCCACAGGTATGCTTGCAGTGCCGGCGATTGCAGACTCTCCGGACACCCAACAAAGTGCAAGTTCTGATATTAGCCATGACCTATCACATTCATCCTGGAAGGAAGTTGGTCATGCCGTGTGGTCCAAAGACGGAGAAAAGAAGAGATCGTCATCAGCTTCATCATCGACACCGAGAAGGAGCGTTAAGGGCGTCATGAGTCCTGTGAGAAAGGAAGAAGGGCGATCCAAATCGCCTACAGGCTCTAGTCCGTCTAAGATCACTCAGGAGAACAAGACCCTCAAACAGGAAGTGGAGGAGGCTAAGCGCAATTTGGCTATGCTACAGGAGTCATATGAACGTGACGACCAGGGCAATGTCACGCGCATCTCCAGGAACTGGAACGGAGAGCCGGTATGTCGGAACAACAAGTAGCCCGTATCCTCAAAAGATCCGACGAACAACTTCGAGAAGCTGCTCAATACATTGACATTCAACGTGGGAAGACAAAGCTATCCGAAGATCAGGCACAACACCTCGTGAAGATCTACGGAGAGTATCAAGACGAAGCCCGACTTAAAGTCCTCGAGTACAAGAAGCGACATCAGGAGATGGCCGCGACCGTGAATCTGCTTGAACATCGAATCAGGTGCGAGGAAGAAAGCTCATTGGTCAGCAAGAGTAAGGCTGAACAAGAAAGAAGGAGCGCTTCTTCCGAGATCGCTCAGTATCAAGCAATGATCAACTCCTCCCAGGTGAAGATCACTACGGACTCGCAGAACGAGGAGAACACCATTCGTGGTTTGCGTGAGAGACTGGAGACAGCGTTGTTGCCGCAACCGAAAATGGCGATCGATGACGAGCCACAAAACATATTGGTGAGCAAAGCAAATGATGCTATCAGGTACGCTGAACAAGAAGCCCATTGCACACGGGTTGCCGTGAGCGAACGGGGTGAGATGTATTTGATTGGACAACGTGCAGTACAGGAACGCGACGCGAAGATGAATGAGGAGATCAAGATCGCTAGAGATCGAGCTCATCAAGGAAACGCAGTACATGATCGCGCCACGCTGAGGGATCAGGAGTTTGTCGACGTGACTCGCGAACTCGCAGCATCAAGACAAAAGGCTATTGATGCGAAATCCGATTGCCTCAGCCAGATCGCTGCAATGTCCGAAGAAATCGAAGAGACACGACAAGAACTCAAGATCCAAGAGAGCTTTGTGTACCAGTTGGCAGAGACGAACAAGGAACTCGAGAGCGAGAATGCCACCCAAATGATGCCAAAGATCGTGGACGAGCTCTACTGAGGGATGACTCCGTTAGGACCGGTAAACGCCACAATTCGAAGATGCGTAAGAGTGATACCACAAATGGGCCTCGGCAACAACAAGGTCAGGTAATGCTCTATCAGACTACAATGGCGGCATCTAGTTCTAGCGTACAGGCACCCAATGTTCTTAAGCCAATTGATTACAGCCTTGGACCGGGTTCTGTTTTGTTTCCTGTTTACCG